TGCTCTGCTCAGTTCTGCTGCTCCCGGCACCAGCTGCTTCCTGCAGTCCCAGGCCAGTGACTCTGCCGACCCATCACAGGGCATTGAGCCACATGTCAGCTGTCTCACTTGGTTATGGATCACTACTGGGATCTCATAGTCTTCATGCCCAGAGATGCCTGGCACAGTGCTCAGCTGCCTCTTGGGCTTCTAAGAAAGTGTACAAAGAAACAAAAATCCCTTAATACCTGTGGCAGCAGGAAAGGAAAGCATTCCCCCGTGGCCCCATGTGGCCACCAGCAAAGCCCAAAGGCAGGAGGAGACCGAACTCCCTCCACTCTGCTCTGCAACACGGGGACAGCAAACACAGCTCCACACATCACAAACCCTAACTAGAGAGCCATAAGTCCCCTTTCTCTCATCCTGTCATCTCTGCACACTTGTCCCATCTATTTACTCTTCTTTTCTAACTAAGTCAGTTTTGAAGCACTGTTTCATTCTTCTGCTGCTGAACATGGTCCTCTCCAATGTCACCTGCTCTGGGCTGCCGAGCTCTTCCTATCATCTCCCAGCGCTGTGTCGGCAAGGGCAGGGGGCTTCTCCTGGGCTTCCAGCTATTGCGCTTCACAGCAAACTCCAGGCATTGCTGCTACTTGATCGTCCAGGGCCAATGCTTGTCCAATCTCTTTTTGAAACCTCCAGCAAAGGAGAATCCACAAGTTCCCTAGACAGCCTCATCCACCGACATGATCTTCAGACAGTCACAAAGATCATCTTGTTCACATCACACACATCCCTGGGAAGAAGGCTGAGAGGTGACTGAGTTTCATGTTGTGAACACCCTTTCCAAGGAGAAAACCCTGCAGACTCCCAATGGCTCTTTATTCTATCAGAGAAAGATGCACTAAGACCTCCTGGAAAGCAGACGGGTTCGTCTAATAGCAGCCTCTGGCCAGGAGAGGGCACGATGTGACTGCGAATCCCCGCAGCAGGCTACTCTGGACCTGGCTCTTTCTGACCGATGTAAGAGCAGGGCAGGCATCTTCCGCCCAAATCAGATCAGAGGTGATGTGTGGCCAGGAACTGCAGGCCAGGTGCTTATACTGACCCACTGCTTTCCAAACACATCAGCTGGCATTTCCTCTTTGTCTTGAGCAGTTACAAACACCTCATTTTGCACTTTCCAGGTCTGTCTTCGAGCTCTGTAAGTGAAGGCTGCATTTGAGGCACAGCATGCACATTCAGTCTTCTGCACCTGCCCAGTGCCCCGGGACTTGACGTCCCCCATGCAGGACATAGCAGCTCCTACCATGTGGAAACCCTCCTTGTTCTGCTGAACACAGGACCAACCTTGCCAGATGCTGAACAGCAAGTAGCAAAGGCCTTTGGGACTCTTCTCGTGAGTGCACCATCCGCGGGGTGCAGGTAGAAGATGCTGGTGACTACTACTGTGGGCAGGACTACAGCCGCCCTCCCACGGTGATGCACTGCGGTACAAAAACCTCCTGAGTGCTGCAGCAACTAGAGCATGAGGTGGAAAGGAGCAGGGGAGGCTGCTTCTCACACAGTGTGCTTGAAAAATATGGAAAGAGCAATCACGGTAATGAGGCTGGTTAGACTCAGATTGTTCCATTGATTTGTGGATAATCTCCTTCCCCAGGGGAAAATATTCATGGATGGCATCTCTCAGGGCAGGGCCTGTGACACCCACATGTCAGGGCCTTAGTCATTGCCAGGCAGCTCCACAGTGAGGAAAACGTCCGTCATGCAGCCATAGATCCCTGAGGTCGGAGGAGTCCTCAAGGGCCTCTTGTCCCATCTGCTGCACAGGGGCAGGGCGTGCAGTGTTCAAGCTGCCCTGGACAGATGTCTACCAGTCTTGAAAACCCTCCAGGGAAAGA